GAAGGTGGGAAGTAACCTTAAACTTCCTTTAAACTTACATGTAACATTGCGCTTATTTTTTTTTCTTCTAGCACTAGTTATTTAGTTTCCTTGACTATGTAAACTTTTCCTCAGAAGTTTAGTTATTTTATGCATATCAAACCGCCGGATGACAACATTCTACAGTCGTCGTTTCCTTTGGTTTGGTGGGAAAGCGACGATGTGAGTACAATACGCTAGTTATTAGGCCGCCGCGCTGCTCATAGAAGCTCTCATGCTACTTGAAATATCGGTCATATTCCCATCCCTCAAACAACCGATCTGTAAGCCTCGTATGCCACTTTGCATGGAGATGTTATATTCTGCCGTGTACAAATCCTGTGGGGTACTCCCAGAAAAATCTGGTGTGGGTGTGCGGCCAGTTTCCCAAAATCCTTACTCTATTTAAGACCAAAATCTGTAATTTTCCCTACCCTATCTATGACCTGGCCAAAAATGGGATATTCTATTTAAGACCCGATCCCATACTTTAATCAATACCCTGTTTCAGACCTGCCTTAATCTTAGTTTTCTAGTTCAGACCGATGTTAAAGGCATTGTGAAGGGCTTTTGTTCAGGCAGGCAGGCAGGCACGAAGGAAATAAATATATAAATAAATAAATATATAAATAAATAAATAAATAAATAAATAAATAAATAAATAAACTTATGACTTATTTTTGAATCTGTTTCAGGAAACTTCTAAGCCAAGTGAGGCATCTAAAAGAGAATACACGACAGCCTGTAATAAACTTAAAAATAAAATTCAAGGTATGGAATATTTGCTAGAGATATAGAGCACTTGTGAACTTGTTTAGTTAGTACAGATCTTTTAGACTGATGTCGAAGGAAAGCCTAAAACTGAGAGTCGGTTACAAGGTTATTCCTCTCTCGCGAATTACTATAAATCTAATAGCGTTCTATCACGAGCGCCTTTCTCTGATTGGCTACGCTACTCGCTATCTATTCTGTGATAGATAGTGAGTAGCGTAGCAGTGTCCTTTTGTTAACAAAATGACGGCGGCTTCTTTTCGTTTTTGAAGTGTATGTGAAGAGGGTTTAGATAAAGTTTTGAACGACTGTTAGATTTATACGATAGAAATCTCGAACTCATAATCTAATTGATAAATAGTATCGTTGGGACTTAATGTTCGTGACAAAATTGAATTGTGTTTGCGAGGATGAACACACCCTGGAGTGGACAGGTGTATAAATGAAGTTGTAGTTGTACAGGGCTCGCACAGGAGCGATAAATCTGAAGGTAATGGCGTTGATATCTGAGAAAAAAAGTCTGGAATTTTATTCAAGCTTCTGCAAGTTTATTATTGTTTTAAAAGCTAATTATATGTCTGCAAGCAGTTTTCATGCCGCTCATTACGTTTTAAATAANAACTGAAAAAGCAAAAACAAAAACAATGGGTTTTTTTATGGCAGTCCCAGGCTACCATAGAGATCGTAGAATTTTGTTTGGCTGGGTCATAATTACAGAGGTAACAAATGACTAATCAATGCATAATCAATGGATAATCAATGGATAATCAATAAGCTAACATAGGATCTCTTATGCTCATTAAGTTTCTATCATTTTCCAGTAAATATTCAGATTTTATAAGCACCGTATGTCAATTAGTGTTGCTATTTTACTAGTGTCCCCAATTAGAGTATCTAGGCCTAACACATACACACTTAAATAAAGGTTTTTACTTACTTACTTTACTTACTTAGACTCACTCACCGTTTAGGGTAGTAGGACTGTATATACGAAGGTTTTTTTTTTTTTTTTTTTTTTACATTTCTAAGCGCTGTAATTTACGGTACTAATGAGTCGTTTTTAGCTCTAGGAACAACTTTCCTTGTCATTCGTGTGGACTACGTGCAACCAAGAACTTATTTCATTGAGCATTGCAATTTACTATGTTCTCCAGGGAGTTATCCTTTTATTAGAAATTAGACCTCAAACTTGAGTCTTCTACATATGGTCAGCTAATAAATCTTTTAGAACTTGAATCGTCCAATTCAGAGTGTAATCATGGTTGTAATTTCAAATCGGCGTGGCGCTGGGCGTTCGTTCGATCTTGAAATTACTCGCGCGATTACTCCCTGAAATTGAACTTCACTTGGTCGAATTACTCTTACTAATCACGTTTCTTGGTATTTACAGGACTCCAAATCAACAAGAGTGCTTTTTCTTGAAAAGTTTAGAAAATTCCTTCAGGAAAATATGATGACCATTGCGGTAAGATACACATAGTTCTCTTTTTTGAATTACATTTTCCTTAGCCACTTCTCCGTTCTCGGCTTTCATTACTTTATCATCACTCCAACTGGAACCATCAGCTATGTAATATTCCAAAAATGAGCTCTCATCTCGAACGTTGTGCGTTTTTTTTTTTCCTGCAAGCTGTCAAATATCACTTAGAACTACAAAGATCCGACTGGATTCTGCCACTGGCTTATTTTTCAAATCGAATCTCGGTCTAATCTCAGCTTCAGCCTTCTTGTGGGCGAAGACCACAAGAGCTCTAGGAACGGGTTTAATCTCGGAGGGCTTTCTTTCTCCCTGGAATATGGAGACGTTAGTTTTCCTGGCACTGTATTCTGACTGCATTCTTTCCGCACAGCTTCAGCCGTCCAGCGCATGCGCAGGACCAGTGATCACGTGTTTCTACCACAGATTGGTGCAAGCAGTCCGCTGGCATTGGGAGCAGTGGGTTCATGAAAACAAATCTCCAATCAAAAGTAAAGGTATGTGTGAACCTGGAACCAATTTGTCAAAAACATAATTGCATGCGTTTGTTTACATCATGTCACCTTTCCTTGTGTTGATATTCTTCAACCACAACTGGATAAAGATTTCAATTAGGTGAACCATTAGTTAAATCGATAAATTGAGCGCATGTTGCAACCAAGGTAAAGCATATTAAGACGGATTCTGCTCAAAGTTCGCGCAATAAGTGCAAAAATTATTCACTAAAAATCTACTCATAGCACGGTAACTTTGCATACCTTTTAACACAACTCACTTTAGTTCATTCCTCTAAGTGACCCCGTGATTAAATTCTCAAGCATTCTCGAGAAGGTTGATGTCAAACCTCGTAAGGATGCTTAAAGCGTTTGTTATTGTGTTTTAACTAACGCGAAACGTCTGTTTTAATTGAAATATGGATAACTTTAAGTTCAATTTTCTCTCGCGGGGTCTCGATAAGTTCCTTTTAGTTGTATTCAAAATATTGCCATGCCATGAGATTTAACTTAATTATTGCCATTATTGCTCGAATGTTCTGTGGAAATCCTTGTAATTTTTTTTTTTCTATCTGCTCAGCTTTCTTTAGTACTTTTTTCTTTTTGCTTAATTAAGTTAATTGTTTTATATGCTGTGTTTTTTCTTTTCTTGTAAATGTGGCAAAATAAAATGGTTGGTTGGTTGGTTGTTGGTTGTTGCCAACATTTCGTCAATACCCATTCAAACAACAGGCTGGGATTGTCTGGATGGGGTTACCTGACAACTGACAAACACCGGAAAATTTCACTTACAACAGGCATTTGCTGTCAGATTTACTTACAACAAACCAAAGGGTTTAGCCCTTGATATTCGTTTGATATTCATTGCAATATTATTACTTTAAGTCTGTAAATATTAATCATTAACAATTGGATCCTCATACTGTCTGTTACACGATCACCCATTGAAGGCCACGCGCTTCAGCTAGGCCACAGAGAAAATCGGCATGTCAGCTGTTATTTTATATTCCCGGGATTTTCGTTTGAGTGGTTCGCTTTTCAAAAATTCAACAACTTCTCGAAACCTATCTGGGAAATTTTCTTGCCCGGCATTTGTCACCGTTTTGAAATTTTCGGAATTTTTGGTTGAATTGAAAGTATCCTAGGAGAGATTATAGGTCTTCAAACAACCTAATGAAACCTTTCTCGTTCTCTCCGTTCTGTGGTTGTCAGTTAAGCTCTAATTATTTATTTGTCTGGTTTGCTTTGTTTGGGTTCAGATGCTTACGTCCCCAACCACATTTTCCTCGACGACAAAGTTCACTTTTGGGACCTTCCAAGGTAACGTCATACACTAGATAGATAATTCCAATAAACCAGAGTTTGCAAAGCTGCTAATGTAACCGTTTTGGTAGCTTTGCGCTATTAAAAATATTTACTCTAGTTGTGTTGATGTAAACATTATTGACTTAGTTCTTCTTAGTTTAGAATACTAAGGGGAGGAAACTTGCCGGGATTTTAAATTTGCTATATTCGTACTCAATCCTCCGTAAGAAAAAATTTGGTTCATTATTTTCAGATTTCCTTCAACTTAAATGTAATTTTGTACGTGGCCAAAATAGCTCAAAATACCGCGACTGAGCTCCTTTAAGACGCGTGAAAATAAACACGAATAAGTTATATCGAAACTGAACAATGCATTGCCGTTGGTATCTGGTATTTTTCATTGTTATATCCGGATTTGGAAACGACCGTTAACTTTTATCACTACTGTCGGAGGTCTTTCCTTTTTCTCGAAGGTGGGTGGGGGGAAGGGGGAGGGGGCAGGGTCGGTAATCTTGGAACTTTAGTCCAGTTTTGGCCCTCTCAGTGTCACGCAGCGCTACGTTCCCCAACGTACCGCTACGTTCCGTGACAGAGAGGGTGAAAACTGGTCTTGGTGTTATTGAAAACGATAGCAAATCGTAACGTTAGTATAATAGGATAACGATTTATCTCAGTTATAAGGTTTTCTTAAATTTTCGGCGATTTCTTAGCTATCAGTTAACATTTCAACCCATTTCTCAGGTATCAATCAATTTTGCAGATCTCAGATCTCACCTGTCAGATAAAAACTGTTCCACTTCTCAGCTTACAGTTAATATAAACATTTGACCAATTCAACTCCATCAAGACCCTCTTAGATTGCTCTTTGTTGTTGTCTTTCCATAGACTTGGTGGCGTGCTGTCACATCTCAAAAAAGCCTACCCTGGTAAGTCGCATAATCCTGACATCGCTGCGTATTGTAAAATGGTATTGGGAATTTGTAGGCCAACGTTGCGCTAATTTTGTTCGGTAAAACACGTTATGGGAGACCTGGGATTGAGAACCAGACCCCTTTGTATGTACTTGCTGCGCTGTCATAATTATTTGGGTGAAAAATTGTAGTGGGACCAAAGTTGAAAACTTTCAGTTCTTTCCAATTCGGAGGATCTAAGGAGTGTGTTGTTTTCCGTCTACTGATCGTTTCCTTTATATTGCATATTAGAATAAATCTACCAGCGTTCTATCACGAATGGCGTTCACTGATTGGCTACGCTACTCATTATCTATTCTGTTTTAGGTAGTGAGTAGCGTAGCAATGAGCGCTTGTTAACAAACTGGCGGCCGCTTCTTTGCGTTTTCGAAGTGTCTGTGAAGAGGATTTGGATAAAGTTTTAAGCAACTAGTAGATTTATTCTAATTAGAAACAATGTTAGATTACTCGCCCTCGATTTCTATGCGCGATAGAAATCTCGAGCTCATAATCTAATTGTTAAATAGGCCATTCTAAGTTAACCTGAGCATTTTAATAACCCCGACATGGGTTTACCTCAAACACTCGATCCGAACTTTCACTCATTAACCTTCAGGGCATCGCGTCTCACTAAATTAACTTTTATACGTAGAGGTTTTACACTCTCTTGAACAGTGTTGTTACAACTTTCATGATTGTCTCTATCACTTTTAATTGACAATTTATTCTCTTGTTAGATGCCATCGAAACATCAGCCAACCGAGTGAAGTCTGGTGAGGCGGACGAACAATCTTTGACTTGCGAAGATCGCAATCTCGAACCCTCATTGGTTGAAATGTTGGATGGCGTCATCATGCTGTACCACATTGCTGTGCACAAGCAGCTATCGAAGGTACNCCCGTTTCTCGAAAGCCCCGGAAACTTTTCGGGCCCGTAAAGCCTTTTTTAGTCCATCTGTATCTAAAAACGGAGAGGTGTATACGCCTGAAACTGCTTGTATGAAGGGAACTTTTCTTCATATTGGGAATATGTGAATAAAACAGCTCTGTAATCGTAAGGTTCGAGATTTTGCTATGCCTTTACGGGCCCCAAAAGTTTCCGGGGCTCTCGAGAAACGGGCCCCTGAAAAGTTTCCGGGGCTTTCGAGAAACGGACCCCTGGGCTTTGCGTTTCCGATCTATTTGTCCGGAAAGGCTCTACACACTCGTTGCGGAATAGTGACTTCGTATTACCACGGTTTAGAACTATACGCTATGGCAAACACTCTGTTAGTTATCTTGGGCCATTCTTATGGTCAAAACTTACCGAAAATCAAAGAGACTCGCCTAGTCTACCTGTTTTTGTAAAAAAAATAAATAAATAAATAAAAAATAAGATAACTGAACCTTGGCGACATTTGCTGTAATCACAGCTGTTGCTGTAATCTTTGTAGCCAATAGAATTATTTTAATTTTTACAATTTTATCTTGTCCATAAGCTAATAGACAGTGTAGGATCTCTCATACTCATTAAGGTTTTTTATCATTTTCCTGTACATATTCCAATTTTATAAGTGCCTTATGTCAATTAGTGTTGCTATGTTACTAGTGTCCCCAATTAGTCTATCTAGGCTAAACGCATAGCTTAAATAGAGGTTTTACTTACTTTACTTACTAAGAGTCACTCACTGTTTAGGATAGTAGGACTTTATATGCGAACGTTTTTTTTTTCTTTTTACATTTCTATGCGCTGTAATTTACGCTGCTTAAGTCGTTTTCAGCGCTAGGGACAACGTTTCTTCTAATTCGTGTGGACTACGTGCAACCAAGAACTTATTTCATTGAGCATTGCAATTTATTGTTAATTTGATTCTCTCTCCAGGGAGTTATCATTTTATTAGAAATTAAATTAGACCTCAAAATTGAGTCTTCTACATATGGTCAGCTAATACATCGTTGGGAACTTGAAGCGTCCAATTCAGAGTGTAATCATAGTAGTAATTAATTTCAAATCGGCGTGGCGCTGGGCATTCGTTCGATCTTGAAATTACTCGCGCGATTGCTCCCTGAATTTGAATTCCACCTGGTCCAATTACTATTACTAATCACGTTCCTTTGGTTTTTACAGGACTCCAAATCAACAAGAGTGCTTTTTCTTGAAAAGTTTAGAAAATTCCTTCAGGAGAATATGATGACTATTGCGGTAAGGTGGACTTACGTTTCATCTTATTTCACACATAGTTTTCTTTTTTAAATTACATTTTCTCCGTTCTCGGCTTTCATTACTTTATCATCACTCCAACTGGAACCATCAGCTATGTAATTTTCCAAAACATGAACTCTCATCTCACGTTGTGCGTTACTTTTTCCCTGCGAGCTGTCATATATCACTTAGAACTACAAAGTTCCGACTGGTGTCTGCCATTGGCTTATTTTTCAAATCGAACTCGGGCTAATCTCGGTCTCAGATTTCTTGTGGGCGAAGACCACTAGAACTGTAGGAACGAGTTTAATCTCAGAGGACTGTCTTTCTCCCTGGAATATGGAGACGTCAGTTTTCCTGGCAGTTTTTCTGACTGCACTGTTTCCGCACAGCTTCAGCCGTCCAGCGCATGCGCAGGACCAGTGATCACGTGTTTCTACCACAGACTGGTGCAAGCAGTCCGCTGGCATTGGGAGCAGTGGGCTCATGAAAACAAATCTCCAATCAAAAGTAAAGGTATGTGTGAACCTGGAACCTACTTGTCAAAAACGTAACTGCATGTGTTTGTTTACATCATGTGACCTTTCCTTGTATTGGTGTACTCCAACCACAACTGGATAAAGATTTCAGGTGAACCATTAGTTAAATCGATAAATTGAGCACATGTTGCAACCAAGGTAAAGCATATTAAGACGGATTCTGCTTAAAGTTCGAGCAATAAGTGCAAAAATTCTTCTCTAAAAATCTACTCTAGTTCATTTCTCAAGCATTCTCCAGAAAGTTAATGTCAAACCTCGTAAGAATGGTTAAAGCGTGTGTTATTGTGTTTTTAACTAACGCGAAACGTCTGTTTTAATTGAAATATGGATAACTTCAAGTTCAATTTTCTCTCGCGGGGGTCAGCTTGAGAGCTTAAGTCTCGATAATTTCCTTTTAGCTGTTTTCAAAATATTGCCATGCCATGAGATTTAACTTAATTATTGCCATTATTGCTCGAATGTTCTGTGGAAATNGCAGTTTTCATGCCGCTCATTACGTTTTAAATAATTTTCTTGGAACAAAGTAATGAAATTTTTGGCAAAAATATTTTCTTCACTGAACTTCATAGAACTGGAGAAAACGGGGTTTTACGTTCTTTTTAGGATAGTTCTAAACACGAATTTAACTTGTTTTCCTAAATATACAATCCAGTTGTTAATCTCATTGTCATTTTAGTGTTGGAGAATATTCAGGTGGAGATTTGCAAGATTTTGTTAAAAGGCGATGATCGACCAACACAGGTAACTGGGGCCCGTTTCTCGAAAGCCCCGGAAACTTTTCGGGCCCGTAAAGCCTTTTTTAGTCCATCTGTATCTAAAAACGGAGAAGTGTATACGCCTGAAACTGCTTGTATGAAGGGAACTTTTCTTCATATTGGGAATATGTGAATAAAACAGCTCTGTAATCGTAAGGTTCGAGATTTTGCTATGGCTTTACGGGCCCGAAAAGTTTCCGGGGCTTTCGAGAAACGGACCCCTGGGCTTTGCGTTTCCGATCTGTTTGTCCGCAAAGGCTCTAGACACTCGCTGCGGAATAGTGACTTCGTATTACCACGGTTTAGAACTATACGCTATGGCAAACACTCTGTTAGTCATCTTGGGCCATTCTTATGGTCAAAACTTACCGAAAATCAAAGAGACTCGCCTAGTCTACCTGTTTTTATAAAAAAAAATAAAATAAAATAAAAAATAAGATAACTGAACCTTGGCGACATTTGCTGTAATCACGGCAATTGCTGTAATCTTTGTAGCCAATAGAATTATTTTAATTTTTACAATTTTATCTTGTCCATAAGCTAACATACAATGTAGGATCTCTCATACTCATTACGTTTTTTTTTTTTTTTTTTTTT